ATATTCCTTTCATTATACCCCTATTTTGCAGCTCCTGCTTTCTTTAAAAGTATCTCATGAATAATGAGGAAGTTAAATGGATGGTCGGAGATCAGAGGGAATCCACCATAAGGTAGTTTGCTTGCTCTAACTTATATTGAGCTTATCCGTTCACCTAGGTTCGGCCTTATTGTTTATGTCATTTACCTGCATGTAATTGCACTGAACCATATTATTCTATGCTTTTATAACCTTTAATTTGTATGCCCTTATTGTCTCTTACCTTTCAGCTCATTTGACTATGCTTCCGATCGTCATTGCACCGAGGAAGCCTGTGAATCCAGGCAGATTCCCCCTCTTCCAAAAGATGCTATGGCATTTAGCCCCCTCAGGCTAATTTCTCCATCTGCTATGCAGGTGGGTATTTTAGAAACGCTGAGTAATGTTTTGCCTGTACCAAAGAAGGAAAATTCCCCTCCATCTCTACACTTAGATAGGCCAGGCACTGATGTAACCATAGGTTGCATGATTACTGAGACTGGCATGACATGCGATCGATCCCGTCGAGCTTCTAGCAGCGCACTTGAGGCCTGTTCATCATCTGCTGCTCCTCCTCCGACCCATTCGTCTTCTCACTTCAATAGGATATTTGTCCAACCAAATCTTCAAGCTAGTGCTTGCTCGAGTTTTTCTAAGGAAAAGGAGAATGTTTCAAAATCTTGTCTTAGACGTTCGGCTAGGACCTTAAACGACGGTGTCGAGAGCTGCCTAAGAGGTCCATACAGATCTCATGATGCGGCTGTTGAACGCTTAATCACATTTGGGAGCGGGCGTTTTTCTCACCCCTCTTCGCCTCCTCTTCACTCTTTATCGGCGAATGGAGGTCCAGGTTGCTCTGGACTTTATTGTGGATGTTCTCATTCATATTTTTCGAGTGGATCGAGTCATGGATTTGCTAATCAAAAACATAAGCAAAATTCTCCTCACAAAGTGTCATTGAGCCATAATCCGGTTCGCAGAAAATCTAATCCTCTACATGATGTGCTGAAATTTCATACCAGCCAGTCAAAGAGTCCACCACCTGCCCTCACAACAGATAAGGGCGCGACTGCTGTTGTAAGTAGATTATATTTTTTCATATCGTTTAATTTTCACCTCGTTAATACATGCAACTATGCCCTTTTAGAAAAACGATTTAGACTCGTATATTTCTCAGCATAAAGAGCTGATAGGCCATGATCAAGACGCTGAGCTTACGAACAAAAATAGCTTGGATCCAAGCCTTCAGAGAATGGCATCAGATATATCTCGCCGGCTTTCTGAAGAACTTATTGCACTTTCCATTACCGATTCGCAACCTACTACTAAGCCTCTGGCTAAAGCAGTTGCAATAGCCCTTCGTAGGCAGCAACAAACAGAACGCCTATTGATGCGCCACATGCGTCGCTATGGCTTCATTTCGCCGTTGAGAAATCTTTTATCTTCATATCGCCGGAACCTTCATCTGGGCAATCGTATTCATCGTTTCAGACGGGCGAGATCAAAATCGAGTTCTAAATTAGTTGGGTCTATGTGTGTAGCCAGTCAGGGTGTCGACAGCAACAGTACGGATGCGGATGATGAATTTGATGAAGACTTTGGAAATATTGAGGACAAAGATTCGGAACTGGCTCTTCTTCATTTATGCCTTGATCAGGCTCTTTATGTTTCTCCATCCCGAGAGGTTACCCCAAAACTGTCATCTCATCAATATACCTTAGCCACGCTTAGGCCCAAAACAGGTGTTTCTGGTGAGGAGCGTGAGAGTGGTTACGGTGCTTCAGCTACTTCTTCCTTGGTCCACCCTTCTGATGACCCAGATGATCAAGGTGCTATTGAAAGGCCCAGTTCATCCAAGGCCAAAAGATCGGATGAGCTTCATTGTGATAGCAAATTACATCAAGAATGCGGTGGCTGTGGGACCCCTACAGCCTCTACTACTGCCACTCGCAGTAGTAGCAGGACAACCAGTAGTCGATCTCTCTCCACTTCAAACGATGCCCTTACCGGAATCGAACTCAATTATTATGACACTCTAGTTCCTACCGGTGAGCCTGTTATACTCCATCATCCTCTGCTTGCTTCCTGTCAGTCTTTCAATCCCCATCTATATCCTGATAGCCCTTCTTGCATTGGAACCACTGTACAATTGGGAGATGGTGGCGTGCCAGGGACTCAAACGGGCAGACGAAACAGTCAGCGGCGCCACCGAGTTCGAATTCTGGATGAACATAAACCATCTAATCTTACTTCGAGTCGATGGGAGGAAGTATCCAAGGTACAGCCTGCTTCTGTCTTGACGCACGCTTTGGATACTGCTCTGCGCTGCCAACATGTCGATAGTGGTGAACTTGGCCATGATCAAACAACAAAGGGTGATCGACGATCCCATTTGAAGACAATAAAGAAGGGAGATCAATATGAATATCCCATCAACGATGAAGAGTTAGGGGGGACTGGACAATATTCTCTTAGCTTGGGTGTTAAGGAGGCATTCACCAAAGCGGTAGAGAGACTTCGACGGCGACGTTTCTATCTCACTGGTTCTGCGTCAGGTCGTTCAATTCCAATCTCTTCGGCAGCCTGTTTAACTAATAAACGTGCTCCTGATGCTTTCCGCAATCTGTCTGCCAATCAATATGACGCTGGCTCGGCTGTCGTAGCAAATCAAGGGAATGAAATAGAATACGATGAAGATGAGGAAGACCGATTATCCTTGGATGCCACATCATTACACAGTATTGTTGGCGGACCCCCAGAACGATGGCCCTCCAATCATTTGCTTCCTAAAGCTAGTTTAGATTCCAATGGCCTCGACCTATTGAGCCAGAATATCTCCAACCTTCAGTCTCCCTTGCATGGCATTAGCCCATCCACACTGACCTCTGCATGTTGCTTGACTAGTCCCCAATCTCATCTTCATCCGACATCCATAGCTAATGCTTCTCAACCGCAGACTGCATTAGCGAGTCCCTCTTTCACTTCACCTGTCGATAACCCTTCTATTGCTTGGACGTCTCTTATCTCACCACCATCGTCCTCCCTCATTCTAGTGTCAGATTCAAATGATCATAAAGCCCTGTCCGGCCAAAAGGTCAGTAGCTGCTCTAATTTCAGCCCCGAGCCCTCTATCGCGAATCAAGCCTCAACTAAACCTTGTTCAACACTTTCCTCTACTATAGTCTCTGCTCCAGTCGCAGTAATGGCTCCCATATTCGTTCCACCTTTGCGGCAACACTTGTTCACACCAACCTTTTACACACTGCCTCAGCACCATCAATCAACTCAAAATATTCCTTTTCCAGTGCCTTTCTATGGAGCCTCTATCACCACTGGCGCGGTTAGTCTGCTCAATCGCTTTAATTCAGCTCCTCTACCTGTGCCCTCAGAAACTTGTAGCGATAGCACTTATTTGGCTTCTGCTTTTCACAGTGTCTGTGGTGCCAGTCGGTCCCTTATGTCCTACACTCCAACAGGAAATCTGTTAAGCCCGACGATACAGTCAAACATGCCAGCACTGTCAGCTCATGTGACTTTAACAAATTCTATTAACGCCAATCTTTCTAGTCACACCCTATTGCCCGCCTGCGAGGCAGCCGTCGGTGACCTCACGCCTACTTATCAGTTGCAATCCTGCCCGCCCTTAACGTCACCTCTCACTCTTAAACCAGCTAGCATCCATAACGCTATAGTGCCACTGTGTCATATTCCGGCCGCATATGCCAAGGTTGGCCTAGGCGCAGGTTCAAATGGAAGATCTGCTGATGTTAAAGAAGATCCTGTTGAGACCCAAAACGCTGAATTAGTTAGCTATACTGGCTTATCGAGGTTCGATCTGCCTCAACAGCAGCAAAATATGCATGCTGCTCTCAAGAAGAATATCGACAGAATGAGTGAGAGAGATGAAGAAGATAGGACGAAAACCTGTGTTCCTGAGACGAGGCAACAGTTTATCAACTGCCTTCCTGACTTTCTCCAGGTTGCCATTCCTGCCAGTCGGCACTCGCCTTCACTTCTCACAACCATCTGTCCCCAGCTAATATCTATGTCCTCTAACGCGCCCTCTATCACTCATCTTTGGCCCAGCCAGCCTCTCCAGCTCTCTACGACCTATTCTGCACATCTCAAGCAGTCTAGTCCCAGAGTAGAAGCCGATCCGGATGATAATCTTTCTACTGTTGTATCAACTGCCTCATGTCTGCCGTTCAACAAATTTAATCGATCTTCGACGAAAATGTCCACTATGTCTTCATGGTCGTCACCACCACCTCCAGCATTTCAGTCTTCCATACCCCAGTCATCACAACCTTTCTCTTCAGAACTTCCATTTACTGCCATCGGGAAACAGCTTTTGAATCCGCCTAAGGAGTCAACTCCATCTCCTGTATTAGCATCGCCCTTGTTACCTTCAGCTTCAGGGGTGCCCATAAAATCACCTCACTGTCAGCCCAACCATCAGCCAAGAAGCCAATCCGCCATGGAGCATCGCCGTCGCTACTCTATCTCTGCAGATCCAAGATATGTCGTCAATTTGGCTTCTGCGCCTATTGTAGATAAAAAGTGAGTAAATTAGAGCACGATGTCATCCTTGTGTCTGTTGTTATCCAACTACTTTTATATTTAAATTCTTTCTAGCAATGATTTGACTATTGACTATGTTAACTCAATTTTAATGCAATCAACTCATTTATGAGGAACTTGTTTCTCAGATTCGGATCTCGTCTTTTCTGCACTTGTTGAATTTGGATGGCGTGTCCTCACCACAAAATCTGATTTTAAGGATTTTTGAGGTTTGGGTTTTCTGAGTTTGTTGCGCGCATCTGGTACATCTATATGCTAAAATCTATTCTTTTATCTTATCAATGCTCTAGAACGTTATAAGTGGTCCTGGAAATGCGACTGGAGCTGTGTATTTTTGTTCATGTGATCATCAGTTTTTACACCACTTCATCGACTTGTTCATGCTCATGTCCAGTGATTGTCATGTCTTTCTAACATTTTGCCAGGATCACCTACTTAGCTTCTCATTTTGAGGCCACTGACTTTTATTTATCACATTTTCATTTTTTATTTTATTTTTATGTAATTATGCACAAGCTAGTTGCCAGATTTCAGAGTAATGTTAACCTTAACCATGCAAATATCGTTAATCTATCAGATTTGAATATACATTTTCTTCCCTTAACCCATATTTTCTCATTCCCGTTAATGAATAAATTTGCACAGTGGAAAGTTGGTGCGTAGATCGCCTCGTGTCAGCCTCCTTGTCGATGGTGTACGTTTTCTACTTGATTTGAGTGCTTTACAGACTCATCCTAACACGATGCTGGGTCGGATGTTTTCTACTCCCTTCGCAGCCCTTTCCAATCATGGTCCTCTCTTTGACTCTGTCTCACCAGCTGCTGTTCCAGATAGACTCTCTTCCATAGCCAACAACTCCGGTGGTTACCTCAAACACCAGTGCCAGCACCAGACTAGTGCCGACAGCAACAGTCACTGTAATAGCGAGCAAAATAGCCCAGGTGACGTGAGCAGTCCCTTGCTCGGACAGAGACGTGCCACTGAGGTGGTTAACTTTCACAGCTTTGAAGACACTTTAAAGGACGAGTCTTCTGCTCCAGATTGTCTGGCTTTGGAACCATCATTGTACTGTCCTCAGTCTTCTTTTAATCAACTTCAAGAGCCATCATCACCTCCAGTTGCAGCATCGACTGCAGCTGCGACTTCCTCGGTCTCGTTTTCGCTGCCCTCTGATTTACCTGTCGCTCTTGGTACTGGAATCACAGCCGGCGTGTTTCGAGCCGTGCTTGATTACTATGTCCATCCAGACCATCTAATGACTTGTCCCCAGGGTGTCCCAATACACGAGCTTAAGGCGGCCTGTGACTACTTGCTTGTGCCCTTCTCTCACGAAACAGTGCGCTGCTCAAACCTACGTAAGTTTAAAACAGGAAAAAGCTTTACTGGTTTAGACTTTTATTAGATTTTTCCTTGGTTGATGTGACGATTTTCATCTTTAAGGAAGTGCGTGGTTAAGAGATTCGTAGGTCAATCTTACCAGAAGACGTTGGCTGATTTGCGTTGTGGTCCAGTTGTTCGGCCTTAATACGACATTCAGGTTGATGCAGTCGAGACATCCTCCAACGTTTCGGGCGATGACGGGCTGAGCTTTCGTTCGTCATGTGACGAGTATCGTCAGAGCTACGACTCATTATTGTAAAAGCCTCAAGTTAACACTAAGTTAGGAAGACTAACCAGATTATATATATATATATGTGTGTGTGTATGGCTATGACTGATTATGTAGAGAAAATGTTAGAGGCATTAGACGATGATGCAACGTACATAACTATACTTAGGGACCCGACAAAAAGCCTTACTTAGGGTTCTTCCGCAACTGGTGAAGTGGAAAATTTTACGACCTTATAAAGTTGGTTGATGATCAGAGGATAGGAGGAGATTTGCCAATAAATTTCGATGTAGTATCTTTACACTAACATTTCTATAAACGAGGCAATGAAGGGATTACAAATGATAATAAACAGTCTGCTTCTAGCAGATGTAAACCACAAGGACCAGGAGATCGATAGATTGAGGCAGGTATTGTTTCAAAACAATTAGTCACTAGGATTAGTATACAATTACATATCAAGTGTCAGTAACAGGATGAGGAGAGTTTGCTATCCGGGGTGGGATAGCCAATTCGACCATTCTACTTGGTTCCTGACTTTGCCTTCCTGTCAGCTTGCGAGAAAGTTGAATGATCTACTATGGAAGTGAAACATAAAAACAATTTATAGAGAGAAATCAACGCTTTATTTCGTAGTTCCTTCGTTTAGAAAAATTTTGGACCCTCTTTCAAGATCAGGCTGTTGCAAGGTTTTGTGTTCATTTGGTAGGCTTTATGTGATGGAGACCTGCCGATCCATCCAGAAGAGACTATGCATACACAAAACCACTTGTATAGGTCTATGGGTCCAAAAATCTGAGCTCGCTCAACACATGGCTAATACAGGACACTTAATAAACTGACACGACGTTCTGCGGGTTACGTGGACTTCGTATCAAAGCTTTAGATTACAGAGTCTCTATAAATTAATAAGTCAACATTCTGAATTGCAACTATTTGTGGCTGTTAGAAGGCTTAAGATCAGGGAGGGGGATGCAGAAAGAGCCATTAAACAAGAGGGAAGCTGGATTAGCCTCGGGTCTAGCTAGGACTATCACACTTCCCTTGACATGAACACTAGATATATACAATAGAAAATAGCGCAAATTCAGATATGATTCAACATTATAGTATCGTACACGTTTATTTGTATAAGGAAATAGCTGCTACCTAACATACTTCCGGTTCGTTAAGTAACTTCACTCCTTTGCAAAGTAAGGTTGAAGTAGCCAACTAAATCATAGGCATTAAGATCGGGAAGTCAGGTGTATAAAAAAGCGATTTGGGTTTAAACCGGCCATCTTTTCTCTTGGCCTAGTATATTTTTGCTCTATTTCGTCAAGTATGGATTCCTGCTCGGATGCTGTCTGTCACAACGAAAGCTTAGCATAATTACATCGGGGTCGCAAGACGGTGAGCCGAGTACTTCTTGGCACAATACGCGGCAATCCTTCTTCGGTTTCCGATGACACCACATCATGAATTCTTTCCAACTATGTTTTTCTTCTAAATAAAAATTCATATCACAATATATCATTAAGGAATTCTTCGAAACCAAGTTTTCCTTCATAGCCATATATCTAACAAAAAATCTAGGACTCATATCTACCTCTTGCATTAAGAGTTCCTCAAATTTTGCTATGCAGCTATTTGCAAGAATTGGAGCTAAGCAAGAAACCATCGTAAGTCATTGCTTTCGTTAATAAAACTTAATGTCAAGTGTGAAATAGGTACTACACATCGATAGATTAAAAGCTTTACAATGGAGGCTATATTTAACTTAATTTCCTCCTTAATCTCTTAATGCCCCTCCAGGGTGCATATTAGATCCTGAATGGCTATTTGAACTGGAATATTTATATACATTACCACCACATGACACTGTCTCGAAGGTCTAGGACTTTTTCATATATCACATTTTTGTGGTGGGATTCTCGATCAAGCACATTTGTATTTGAAATAGCAATAGACTACATCACTTATCTTCTGCTTATAACTAGGCTTTGGAAATAAAATGAATGTATCTCATTTACATGACCCACTAGTAATCTCGAAAACCTACTTATAAATTTAAAATAAGTAACTTAGACCACTGCTTTAGCAAATAAACTTTGCTTGATCGAAATTCCCACTACAGAAATGTGATATGGGAAAGTCTTAGGATTCCTTGAAATTCTCTTTGCCCTATTTCCAAGGGCATCCAGGACAGTGTGGTGTAGTGGTTAACATGTCGAGACTACGCTGCTCTATCCGAGTTAGAGTTCCGTTGGGGGTGTTGATGATGCCAAAGCGAGGTCAAAACTGCAGTTCATCCTGAATGCGAATACCTTTCGGGAGGCAAGTCTATGCGAAATTCAACGGAAACATGATGCATACTTATATTGCGGGAAGACTCAACTACCAGTCCTTCGTCACCTTAAAGGTGGATTCATTTCATTATTAATTCTTCA